CGTTTGATTACATATTAGTTTTCGAAACAACAATCGAATATTGTAATTACTGCATTTGTTGAAATAGCCATTTAACACTTTGTCTCCGTTATTTTCTGCGAAAGGCTGTTTATGATAATTTTCCCTTATAAGTTGGACCCTTTTTTAAGCATGAGTTAAATTTAAATGTTGACATTTCTGATCTAGATATTACACTGCTATGCCCTATTTGTAATATTTTGAGATCATTTAGATTACCCTCGATTCTGACTATTATTGTTTATGCTACCCTGTCAATTATTTTATTTCTTTAGCTTATCAAGACCAGAACAAGGATGACTGAGTCTACCTTGTTTCCCCCTTTCGGCAAGTATTCTCTTTTCTCTTTTGAAGTTTACTAAAGACTAACTGGCGCCTATCCAGTTTACCGTCACTATATTCTGTTTTGCGTTGTTTTGGTTAGTGTACGCGAACCCTATTATTCAGGCAGATCCATCTCTACTTTGCTAGAGCTTACCGTTTGCTTATCTAACTATAATTTTGTTTTGTTTGCTCAAAGTGAACGTAACATTTTCCAAATTAAAATTGTGATTACGGAAAGTTTAACCGTACATTTGAAAATAAATTATTAATTCGGGTCAGACGTTAAAACTTCATTGTGTGTTTTCATCGCATAAATTGGATTCGTGTTCGGTCAAGGACAAAAAAATTAAACGCGCTGGGTTATTTTTCGCTACAAAAAATTCAGCCGTCGCCGTGAGTGAACAAAAGGGGATTAAGCATGATTGTTGGAATACGTAAATCCGAAATTAAAATAAGTGCTCGCAGTTCATAAAACCGAGGGCCATCGACTGGTTATAATACGTGTACCTACACCTTAATCGTCAATACTATTCAGTACTCAGCAATACTGACGTTCTAGTGCTTCAAAAGATCTAAAAAAGATTTATACATTTTAAGTTTTTTTAACCTCTTTGAATTTTGTTTAAATTTTTTAGAATTTTTCTTTGTTGTGTGCTAAATTTTTGAAAAGAATTAATATGCTATTTTTTAAAATTAAATTAGGATCTATAAGTTATTCCAATTAGAAAAAATGATGTTAGATCCCTGTAACTTTTTTACTTTACAGAAACATTTTTCTGTATTTCTTTTATATAAGAAAATATATGGTCATTCCGAAATTGTCAATTTTTTAATTTTGCTTCGTATCTAGAAAGCAAAAAATTTCGAAATCTTAATATAGCATTTTAAGCTCGATTTTAAGGATGACCCAAAAAGAGCACATCGCGCTTCTATTATTATTACTTTTTTTGGGTAGAATTACGAAGACGGGTTGATAAAAGTGTCGAAAAGGGGCATATACGTACCGGTCCAATAAAATCAATAATAAATGATGACGGCTGTTTAAAGGAATTACCTAAGACTTAAACAGATACAAAAAGAATAATGCTAGGAAGCATATCTATTTCAAAAAGATTTTATATGAAACGATTAGATTCCTCAGTAGTCGCAGTTTGTGTTTTGGGTTACTTGTAAGTTGTAACAAATATAAATTGAGACCTGACATATTCACCGAACTCCGTCGTGGATATCCGCAGACATCGTTTGATATCTGTGAAGATCTCGGATATATTGCGTACACTTGATATCTAGTGCGATTTCCCCATCGAGTATAGGATTGTGAATACCTACAAGTGCAAGGAAACCATATCTTTACTTTACTATGCATCATTGAAAAGAGCATAAAAAAACGGAAAAAAAATGTACTTGAGTAATTTTACTAAAGTGGACAGTTTTTTTTAGAAAAATTTTGCAAGTACACTTTTTATCCGTTTTTTATGCCCTTTCCATTGATGCATAGTAAAGATATGGTTTCCATTTGGAAGTTTCGAGTTTTTGACCAAAAACCGATTGCCAACTTTGAAGGATTATTCGTATTATTTTCGAATTACATTTGAAATTCAGACCAATAACATTTAATACCGTGGATTTTTAGCTCTCCATTCGTGAAAAAGATTTTGCTAAGTTGTGAGACAACAGTGATATGGCTAATTTACTGAACCTCTGAAACTGTGAAAAAATTTCAAAAATGTCAAATAATTTCCAAACCATGTCAGTTAGACATAGCATCATATTGACAAAGTCATACTGATTTTTTTATGAGGAATTCGAAAATGGCATCACAAAAGATAGTGCTATTTGAAATAAGCCTGGAAATAAGAAAGTTGCGGTACCGTTCTGATACAACCGGAAAGACGGTCATTTTGAAAATATTTTTAAATGATTCCTTTTGATCGATTATTCAAAAAAGGCAATGGGCCCCGAATCGAAATTCCAAACCGTTCCTGAAATACTTCTAATGGTCCACTTAGAAACTACAGCACCATGTATAGGGGGCTCCTTGGTGCTCCATGCGAAAAAATAGTTTAGAGTCGTATAGGAAAAACCAAACACTGACACACCCTGTATAAAAACTGCGAATCGCGATGGATTCTACATAAAAAGTGCCCTAAGAAAGATTTTTAACAAAATAGCAATTGTTACGACTGCATAATTTTCATTTCGCTCCACTTTCTTCAGACACAGTTCATTTGAGATGTGAGTCATTTGTCCGGAAGTGATATAAAATTGAAAATATTTTATCTATAACGGTCTCATTGAATAACTCATAGTACAAATTTTAGTAGATCTCGTAAGGAAATGGAAACATATATCTATAGAAAACTTGTTGCAATTTTGTGGCCACTTACATTGCTAGTAGGGACACTTGTTTTCATCATTATGATTATGATCATTGATTACCTCGTTGATCACAATGGCCAAAACTATAGTATGGTATTGTTATCAGCAATCAGGTCCCTATTTTTTGATAGAGTAAAGACTCCTCGAAAGTGTCTGTTTCAGGTAAAAGATTTTCATTTTTGTACTGAATATCTCATCAAACAAGTAAGTTTAGTTATTCATAGCATGAAATTTGCTCTAAGGCAGTCTCCATAGGGGATGTAGAACCAGGGGCGTCAGTAGAAAATGTTCGTGCATTTGCACGTTTACTGATGTGTTAGTGTGGTGTCACACTATGCGTTTTTACCGCTCCCGCTAAAACGGATGCGGTTTGACAGGATGAGATCTACTTGTCACACTATTCCGGTTTAACGAGATGCGTTTTTGCATTTTGGCAGTCTAAGTAGTGTCATGTCTCAATTATTGTTAAAGATGGTTTGTGCGCTTGAGGCGGAGGGGCTATTGCGAAAGCAGATATATCGTCAATATTGGACTGATCCTTTTAATTCAGGAAGAGAATCTAATAATAGGTTCGCGAAGTTTTATGAAAAAATTCGAATGAACAAGAAAAAATTTTTTTTCACTACTAGCGTCTGATGACATGATTATTAACCTTTTTTCCACTTGTAAAGTAGGCTTTCTCGGCATTTGTTCAAAGTGGTTAATAATTTTTTATTATTAACTAGTAGTCAATAATGAGAACTGTCACGCTGTCACTTTTAGAAAACACAACCCGAAATTTCGCTCAATGAACGTTTAGACAAGTTCTCTAAAACGAATAATTGCCACCATTCGCAATTTCCAGAGAAATTACATACCTAAAATTATCACATTTTGAAAAAAATTCGAACGAAATTACTCTTTGAAAAATCTCAATGACAGAACAAAATACGGCCTGTTTGACTTGTACTTCCACGTACTTGATTGACATGTTAAATTAATAAACAAAAATTCTGTCCAACCGTTAACTCTCTTATCAATATAATATGTTAATTTAGAGGATTTCAAGTGCTAGTAGTGAAAAAAATAGTATATATACCACGGTAGAGAAGTCTATTATTGCCTTCGCACCTTACACCCCTCGGCGCAAGCGCCTCGAGATGTAATCTTGGTGCTCAGGCAATTAATACTGGACTTCTCTACCTTGATATATAATGTACTATTTGTATATTACCGAATGTCCAAAAATTCAATTTCTACCCATGATTTCTCCCTACAGTTTTTATCTACATACTCTTTAGATTGTTTTTCCCACAGTGCAGTTTTTGCATGCACGCACTCGATGAATACACCGACATCAAACATTGTAAACCTAACAAAACACCCGGTTGCAACGCTCAGTGTGACAACTGATGACAACCAACGTACAACAACACGTGGTTTCATGTCATTGTGGTTGTCATGTCAACCTGCGCAGCGGCAGCAGGATGCGGTTGCATCCGGTTGGTGCGGCGAAAACGCATATATGTGACTGGTACCATTTAATAACGTGTGATATTATCATCCCGTCAAACAGGAGCGTTTTAGCGGGAGCGGTAAAAACGCATAGTGTGACACCACACTTACCTCGCGTGTTACAATTGCTTCCGTTGGATATCCATTTGTCAATTTAGGTGTCTTTCGGTAAATTTTTCGCGAGTTCAATTGCCGCTCTTCAGGGGTTTAACTATAAACTTCATTTGCACGGCGAAATTGACAACAACGCGAAAAACTGGAACAAGCCTCTGCGACTAATCAAGGCAATGTCCACGCCATTGTGCAAATCGCCTCCGCTCGAAATTTGGGCGTCTTCATTCATTTCGTTTGCTTTATATACCAAATCAATTATACAGATTTTGTACATAAATCACACGGTCATTGACTCATCTGCTAAATGAGCGATGTTTGGATTGGAAATTAACATCCAAAACGCACTAAACGATCAATAGAAATGGGGCATGAGTTGTTCTTTTGAACCGATCTCTCGCACAAAAGGGCTTTCCTTAACTCATAATTCAAGATTATAAGCACCGCGAACTGCGTTTCGGTATTCTCTCGGGTATTCTTTAAGAAGGATGTCGTGGGTTTGCTTCTTTGACCCTGAAAGATATCGTAATGCACACACTTTTAATTCAAGACAAGATTTGGAAATAACTTGTCGAAACTATGCTCTCGAAAAAATCGGGGACTGTTGGTAACTACTGATAGGATTTTAAGTGCCCATTCTTACTCTTACAGGTGAAAAAAATGTATGCTCTTACCTTTAGTCATCTTCTCACTTACAGTCATTTTTGTGCACTTAACAAAACTCGACACTTTTCACAGTTCACAAAGTGCAAACATAACTTTTTGTGCAAGCTGCACTTTGCGCGAAAAACTATTGTGCTTCTAATACGTAATCGTCATACGAGAACGAGCGATGTTTTCATACTGTTAGCTAACACACGAACTGATACTGTACGGTTGTGGTAAATTAATTATTTTGTACTAATCTCGTGTCAGATAAAAATTGTTGATTTACGAATAAGGTGATAATTTAAAAACGAACGCTGGCGGCGCAATCTTGCGTCTGCAACGCGCGCGTTTCAACGGAGTTTAAACTTTTTGCGTATTCCAAGGATACTGGCGGATTTCACTCAAACATCAAACGTAAATATTTGTCTGGTAGATAAATACATAATTGCCCTAGTTTTTTAAGGGCAAAATTGCGTAAGTGGTTTTTATGCAAAGTGATACCTAATCGATTAAGGCTACAACAATAATGAGAAAATTTGACAAAGGTGTTTGTTATCAAAAATGGGTCGACCAAGGCCTTCGCGTAGAAATATGTAATTGAATGAATAATTCAATTTAAACGCCACTAGACTAGTGGGCAGAAAAAATAGCGAAATAATTCATAACACCCAATCAGAACAGCCACTGGAAGAATTTCTATTTTCTAATCAACATCCGGTATATTTCCATATAGACTTTCATTATATCAAGCGCAAATACTCTGTGTGGAGTTTTCCAATAATTTGCAAATAAATTGATCGGTTTATTGGTTTCCGTTGGGTTTCTACCGGTGCACTCTACTCTATGCAAGGCACTGGAAGAGTGACGCGTTTAAAGGTCAACCCAAGCCGTCGCGGACATGCGGGCACGGGAAAGCCGCGCCGATTGAAAATGTAGACAACCCGCAACGTGTATTTCCTACGAAGCTCTGGATAGGACACATAGGAAATTATTTTGTAAATTACAGTTGTAACTGGGAATTAGTTTATAATTTACAGTTGTAATTGGGAATTACACTAATTTACAGTTGTAACTGGGAATTATGCTAATTTACAGTTGTAACTGGGAATTATACTAATTTACACAGTTGTAACTGGGAATTAGTTTATAATTTACAGCTGTAATTGGCAATTACACTAATTTACAGTTGTAACTGGGAATTATCCTTGGCAGTTACAACGGTAAATTAGTTTAATTTCGTTTAATTTCCAGTTACAACTGTAAATTAGTGTAATTCCCAATTACAACTCTAAATTAGTATAATTCCCAGTTACAACTGTAAATTAGCATAATTCCCAATTACAACTGTAAATTATAAACTAATTCCCAGTTACAACTGTAAATTAGTATAGTTCCCAGTTACAACTGTAATTTACATAATAATTTCCTATGTGTCCTATCCAAAGTTTCGTAATTTCCTTCTCTCTCCCTCTCTGTTGAATAGCTTGCCCCCATACACGTTCGATTGTAACATATAAATTTTATATACAGTGCTCTTTATTCAGAAGTAGACTTAAAGGCGGGAATAGACTGGCAAGTTTTCTCACGTAACTTGCGTAACTGCTGACAGCAGTGTCCAGCTATAAAAACCACTGCCTACTTTTAAATGACAAGATCTCTTCTAAAGGACGTCGAATGTTATGCAGTCAAAATAACTTCTTAAAAACAAATAAAGATCTTGGCTGTCAGATTAATTAATTTAAAAATGGTTGCATTGCTTTCCGTACCTATTCTTATTTACATTCGTGTGCGATGTATTCAAAAAAGTTGATATTGTCAATTCGTATAGTGCAGGTAAGAGTTTAAGGAACGCAAGAGATTTATTTTCTGTAAAGCCAAAGCTTATTATTATATATTATTCAAATTAAGTTAATATGACAGATAGATATCTTTATTTGTTTTAAAAGTTATTTTGGATGCATAAAATTAGGCGCCGTTCAGAAGCGATTTTGTCATTTAAAAGTAGACAAACAATGCATGTAAATCCCTATGATCACTGTATGCACACATACGCATGATTATTTCGGCGTCAGAAATAATAAATGAACTCCCTTCACGCAGAAAATTTATTAATAAACAAGAAAATCCCGTTTTTACCCGTGCTCCATTCCCGTTTTTCCCCGTTCCCGTGGGAATTTCTTTCGGAGTACACCTTGCCGCCTTCAAAGAAACCTACATTCTAAATGCAATTTCGCCTGTGAAACATACACTCGAGTTTTTTCTTGTTCCCGTCATGGGCGCCGCTACTAAAGGGCAAGGGGGCCCCCCGTGGGATTTGACAAATCACTTAATCCATTTTAGAAAATGTTGAAAGCTCACAATAAAACCAGAACACAGCCACCTTTTTCTTTTCTTTTTCGCGTTCTCGTAAGAGGAATTTTTATTTGTTCGAAATAATTAAATTGTTTTACCCTACTCTACATTCAACATTGTAATCAATAACGATATGATTGGTAATTTGTTATAGTTTTGAGTAGAAAAATTATGCAGAAACAGTTTAATGTTGGCCCTCGAATTTGCCTTAAGCACTGTAATTTTTATCACCCGCACCGCGCACATTAGTAAAGGAGGTATTGCATTGGAGTAAAAAACGATCCCCCACTTTTTTTACGGAAATATACGTTTTAACGCACCAGAAATCCGAATCCAACAAAATTTTGATGATGTCGGTCTGTCTGTACTCTTATAGTAACCAAATTTGGTACACATATTTTTAGATATAAAAGGAAGAGCTGAAAGCTTTCGGGGAGAATTGCGCAAGTGTGTTAAACTCTCATTAACGGCTAAACGGCTGAACCGATTGGAACCAAATTTGGTACACACATTGTTAGACCTAAAAGAACGTAGAACGCGCATGCGCCGGTGTGCGGGTGGTGTCTGTGCTAACTACAGCAAATTTTATAATATAGTGCTCTTAATTTAATTTTTTTTCAGTGAACTACTGTAACTTGTTACTTTTGTTCTTGTTTTGTTTTGTGTCTAATATGTAGCTATTACACTATTACACCATGGTTTTTATTGGATATATGATTTAGCTGCGTATCCTATTGAGTGGCTAATTTAAAAATAGTTAGGTAACATTTTGTATTCCAAAAATGTAAGGGCCCCTCCCTAGCGCATTTTCTTCCGGCGCCCCTGGTTCCCGTTCCAGTGGGAATTTCGGAAAGCGTGTGACTAACTCATCAAAAACTTTCGCGGGCAAGGTCCAACCATTCCATATGTTAGCAGCAAAGCCCGTTCCCAAGTAGCACGCAATATGGAAGCAATAATGGCTATAAACTGGCGCAACATTGACTTCATATTGTATTTTTATATTGCGCCAACATAGAATGTGAACGCTTTTAAAAATTGGGCCAATATAGTTAACAATATTGGTTCAATGTCACTTACAATATAAAACCAATACTGTTATACTACATTGGCCCGATCTCATAGTTACAATATCGGGGAAATATTGCAGCCTACATCGGACCAATATAGGATGCAAATGCTTTGTAAACATGGGCCAATATTGTTGAACTATATTACCACAATATAGACTGGAAATATTGGGCGAATAATGTAATCTCTGTTGTACCAACATAGAATTTGAAAGCTATTTAACCTTTATTCAATATTTTCTCACAAGGCCGAATCAATACTGTTGGAGGATATTAAACCAGAGTGGTTCTACGTATGTAACTGTACAACATAATAAAATAACAGGTAAATTGAAAAGCGTAGGAAAACGGAATATCGAATTTATTCTGTAAAGAAAGAAAATGATGTAAAACTAAGATGTTACAATTAATGATTTATACTTTTCCCTTTCCTTGCGACCCCCGTCCCTGCAGCATGATGCCAAGGTCCCACTCACAAGACCCAACAGCTTGGAATTTATTCTTAACTGTAACTAAACAATATCAAAGATTAAAAAAAAACTTATGAAAATTGATATATCTGGTTATTAGCACAAAATCTACTTCGTGCCTACATCTTAATGTTTATGCAAGCATTACCAAACCAAAAAACTTAATCTTATAAGATAATACCTAAATAATAGGTACAGGGTGCGGCAAAGCCGACTACGCAGTATCGATCGATTACCGCTCAGAGTGTGGTGGGGGTAGGCAGCTGCAACCGGTATTCCTTTGTTTGGTTGTTGACCCCATTTAGTAGGCAACATGGTTTGGACCGGTGTACATCGTGGTTTTGCCGTGCGGGCTTATTACGAAAACAACCGATCTGTGATCGCTACACAGCGCGCTTTCCGGCGACAGTTTAACATTCCGCGCAATGACAATGTTCCAAATGCAAACACGATTCGATCTTGGGTTCGGCGATTGGAGGAAACTGGAAACACATTAAGAGGAAATAAACATGGCCGATTCAAAAACGTCAGAACGCCAGAAAATGTTGTACAGGTGAGAACAGCTGTTCAAAATTCGCCGACACGTTCTGCTCGAAGACATGCTATCGCATTGGGGATGTCGGATCGCAGTTTGAGGAGGATTCTGAAATTTGATTTGAAGTTTCATCCCTACAAAATAATGTTTGCTCAAGAATTGCGCCCAGATGACTATGTCAGCCGTCGCAATCTGTGTGAGCAAATGCTTGCAGCCATCCATCCAAATGCAGCTTTCTTCAGTAGCGACGAGGCTCATTTCCACCTCAACGGGTATGTAAATAAACAAAATTTTCGCTACTGGTCTGAAAATAACCCTCAAATTGTTCATGAAAGACCGCTTCATTCTTCCAAAGTGACGGTGTGGTGTGCCGTATCTCAGTTTGGCGTGATAGGCCCCTACTTTTTTGAGGAGGAAGGCGTTACCGTGACTGTTAATTCCGCACGTTATGTTGCAATGTTGCAAAATTTCCTGCAACCCAGGATGAATGAAATTGTTGAAGAACATGAATTGGGGGACTTGTGGTTCCAACAGGATGGGGCTACAGCTCACACTGCTCGAGCTTCACTTCATGTTTTGAGAGAAATCTTTCCTGAACGTCTCGTCTCTTTGAGGGGTGATGTCGGGTGGCCTGCACGCTCACCAGATTTGAGCATCTGTGATTACTTTCTTTGGGGGTATCTAAAAGAAAAGGTGTTCAAGAGACGACCCCACACCATAGCAGAGCTAAGACAAAGGATTATTGAAGAAGTGAACGCCATACCCCGAGACATTTGTGCAAGAGCTACAGAGAACTTCAGACATCGCTTACAACAATGTGTTGATGCCAACGGCCGCCATCTTAGCGACATTATTTTTAAAACATAAGTGGATGTAAAATGGTATGTACTACTAATTCAGATTATTTAAATACATTGTCTCTAAATATAAAGAATTGTTTTTTATTGCTCCTCAAAACTGCTTAGTCGGCTTTGCCGCACCCTGTACTTACCCTTTATTCTCAGTTTCTCACAGGATGCACAAATAAAGAAAGTCACCAAATACTCGCTGACAATACTAACACTTGCACATCTACAAATACAAAATGAAATGAAGTGCATTCATAATCACACAGATCACGTAAACATTAAGTGTAGGTCACCGTGGTGTAGGTAGATATGCTTAATGGCGTGCTTATGCAGCGTTGCGCAAACTCTCCGAAATGATGCTATACTTAAAAGTGCTGTCTCATGTTTTTAATTACATAAAGGCCCAAGATTGTGCCCATATATTTTTTCCTATATTGATTGATACAATATAGGCCCAATGTCGATAATATCAATATAATAAGATATCGAATTCAAACATTAGATCAACATTGTGCCAATATTGTTTTGTTCTATGTCGATTAAAAGAACATAGGTCCAATACCGACAATATCGATATAATAACCATATTGACTATACAATATTAAACCAATATTGGAAATATACGTGTGAGACTACATTGACTGACCAACATTGCGCGTATATAGTTTTTTTGTACATTGATTTAAACAATATATGTACAACGTCGATATAAACAATGTTGGTTACATAATGTTAAACCAATATTGAACCATTATTAGAAATATCCATATAACATTATTTTGGTTATTCCAGATTGCGCCCATGCCAGAATTATCTATATAGAATTATATTAGATATTCTATATTGATCCAACATTAACTTTTAAAATGTTGGATTTACAATATATGTCATATATAGGTGTAACATTGATGATGTTCCATATGAATTTTACAGAGATTTTAACATGTAGGTCCAATATAGAAAACGATATGCAATATTGCGCCAACATATTTATATTGGGCCTAGATATCTCCTTTCTAATGCCAAGATTATGTGCTACCTGGGTTACGTCGCTAAATATATTTTAGAAGACGGCGAGAACCGGTGTAAATCGCTTCAGCGCATGGTACGTGACTATTTTTCTTTACAGATTCAGTTGCCCATTTTCAACCAAGTCTTACTTAACTAATTTCCTATCATATTTTTTCCAATTTTAAACACGTGGATAACATGATTTCGCACATGTGGCAAACCTAGTAATAAAGGATTACACATCAGGTAAAGTCCGTAATACGAAATATCCTCGAACTTGGCCTAGAGAAGCAATGCTAGAATTACTTAGGCAAACTTAAATGGGCACATTTTAAATCCCTTGAGGTTTTGTGCGTTAAGAAATGCTGCTTCAGGACATAATGTGTTCAAATTAATCATACTGTGCACATTTTGAATATTTGAAATTATTGTGACGCCTACTGTACTCATATTTTAAATCCTTTGAAGACTAGAATATGTTGAAGATTTGTTGCAATATTACAATGTGTACACTTTAAATCTATTGAAGTATTGTGTATTTTTAAACGGCAAGCGTTTATTGGCCCTTATTACACACTACGTGATTTACAATTAATCGGAATAGCAAATAACATATACCTACCTGGGTATCACCTCGCCTATCACTTTTTAATATGATAGTTTTTAATTTGACGGTTGGTAAGATTGAAAACATTTGATTTGACTATTGTTGTCATTCGTTCTCTTATTTTTCTTATAATAATTTACTTTGTATTTTTTCGATATTTTAATAGTTATTTCGTTATTCGGGTCGGAGACGAATCGAACAAATCAAAAATCATGAAAATCGCTCCAGCTATTCTTGAGTTAGAAGTGGTGTAATATACAGGACTTTGTTTTTTAATTGTAAACATGTGCTTCAAAATTTAATGTTCTTTAACTAATTAATTGTAATTATTTTTAGTCGCCTATTGTTTTGCTTTGCGGGAAATTCAAACTGCTCGCACTTCTTTTGGATCACCCGGTATACTTATATATGGTATCCGTTGTTTACTCTATCATGGTATATATTTTCTATTGCTTCGCGACAAAGACTATTCTATTTAAAATAATGGTCATTTAAAATGTGTTGTAAGTAATATTTATAAATATAAATAAATGATATTTTGATTATTATTTATTTGTGGTGTGTGTTACCCTAAATAGGTTTATGAAAGATGCATTTTATTCCCATTGACAGAATTATTTTGCAACCCACATACCGATTGAAAACAAGTAGACTTTTTCGACATTTCACTATGTCATGTGAAAAAGTACCTAATTGTTTCTCTTGAATCCATAGGTATTTAAATATGCTAACAATGATACTTCACAAATTGCATTGTCGGATAATTTTAAAAGCAAGCAAAGATCAATTATTCACTTAAAATCCAAGAGAGTTATTTGTACTGCAATTATATCGTATATAACAGGAAGTACTGAATGTAAAGAAAATTAAAGACCTTGACATGAACAAGATATCTTGTTGAATTAGGATTTGGGACACGTGCGCAATTAATCTAATTGTCTTGGACAATTTATATAAAATTTCCTAATTAGTCTAACCGTTGTTTCTCAGGTATACTAATCTTACATGTTTTCCTCATGCGGATCATATTGCCATTATTGTACTATGCGATCAAAAATGAGTTGCTGTCCAGTCGCCTTTGAAATGTTTGTTTACATGGAAAATCGTATTTAACTAGAACTTCCAAAGGCGACTCGACAGCAACTCATTTTTGATCGCCCGTTGCAGTCATTGGACAAAAGTAATAATCGCCGAAAAGGCATATAAACTCAGCATATGAAACCAACATACCCTCATCGGCCTCATCTAACATATCGGGCTCAGTCGGTTTCTTCGAGGGGATTGGTTCGCATTTTCATGTTGCACAATATATTATATAAGAAATCAAGGTGGTCGCACAATAATCTTTCACCGTGTTTTTTCCATTTGTCATTATAGCTCGAGTTATAGCTCAACGATTATAGTCAACCGGAAATTCGCCTACAGTTGAGATTCGAGATCAGTCCCGGCGTTAGGTGTCGTAACTAATGTGGTCACAGTTAAATCAAGTCAATTTCAAAAACAAAGGTGGAAATTTATAAAATGTTGCAAAGTTACAAAACACAAATACTCTTTTAAATTATAAAGAAATGCAAAGATTACTACCTGCATTAAATAATACAAAATAACAACAAACGTTACGGAACAATGCTTTCTCATCCGTCATTAAAAACAAGATGCCCCTAACCATAATATAACACCTATGCCCTAACTTAAAAAGCGTAGGTTGGTCACAGAATATGGAGCATTAAAAGTTGATGTGTCATTGGTTTTGCTGTAGCTCAAATATTAACGCCAGGAAGAAATAGTTTGTAAAACTGCCAAATCCGATTTTTTCAAAATATTTCAAAAATCAAAAAATATTTCTAAACGCAGTCTTATTAAATCTTTGACTGGCAACTTTCTAGAATGCTCATAGATAGTGGTCCTCCTTATCTCGGAGACATAGAAAACGATAGGTGCTGAAGTATCAAAGAAATGAATGTCAACATTTAAAAAAAAAGGGTAAAAGTCCCAAATTAAATTCATTTCAAAATGTGTTTCATTCTTTGCCTTGCTAAATCGAGTCCCCATTTATTGGTGACTCCGATTCAAACATGGACAGATTGCGAATAATACGCAGACGTAAACATTTCAAAATTAATAATGGAATTGGAAGACCTATGCAGGACATTGAACAATCCCACTGAAGATGTAATGGTGGAGTATAGTCAAAGTCAAATTGTACAATGTAACATTTAGGGTCTGATGATGGCTGATAAATGTCGCTTTTTACTTAAGATTTTTCAATTTTTCTGGGGAAGGTTTGGTGCATTTACCCTTCAGTTTAACTATCTTTTTATTAACAACTTTGGGGATGGGATAAAGGCATTCTGGAGGAAATGATTGTAAAGAGCTGTACAGTCACAGTTTTAAAAGATAAATGACGATTTGTTTGCTGTCTGAACATCTTGGTCTTGTACAATTTATTTTTTCATGTGTAACAAACATATTATAATTACACACTGTAAGCAACAGTAAGATCATATAAGTTTCATTTATTGATCGTCCCAATGACTAATCAACAAGTAAAATAATTTGCACTCTTTAATGTAAAGCTGAAAAAATATGTTGCATAACATATATAGCAGCATGTCTTTTCACTTTACACAATTAATTCTAACTATAGTGATATAGTAGGTATCGTACTACGCCTAGCAATATGGTATAATTATCTTTATCCAAATTCGTAGACACCTGCACAGCCTTGATAGATTTCATTACAACATGTACCGTACATGTACACATTTATAAACATACCTGATTTGTTGGGTGTAAACCTCCCGTAAAGTACAATTATAAAAATAAGCAATCGATAAATAGGTTACTAATACAATATTTCCTAAAATACATTAGTACATAAATATATTTAATAATACTCAGCAGATTTAACAAAGTATAGGCACTTACAGTGGACTGTACAGAATACTTTGGTAACGGTATAAAGCACATACCAAAAGCATTGGTATAACTTTACAAAATGTAAATAGTTTAATGATCTCATTTCTATTAAATAAAAATAATGCCTCAGTTTAAACTTGAGCACTCAATTTACAGCAACAATACAATAGTTTCACCATTAGTCTTCTATATGTAATTATACTAATATTTAACCAACAGCTCCCCTCCCTCCCCCCAAACAGCTACAATGAATAATAATAAATATCGATCAAACATCAAAGGTCACTTGTAGTGGAAGACGTTGGGGAACTGAAGTCATGATTGTCGGTAATAGTTAAAGCTTTTGATATATTTTCATATTCTTTCTGGCACTTCTGACAGTTCATTGTAGAATTTCTGTAAATGATTACATATTTAGATCAAGGGTCATATTTTGTCGTGCAGAATTAAATTTAATTTAAGATAATACTCTTCTCTTCTTTTTCTACGCATCATTAGAGATTGAATTGGAAACCTAAGGAAAAGAAGAAAATTATCCAGTTTTGTATCTGGTTTTATGTGAGGAATTTGTCATGTTTTTGGCGCATTTTCCAACTCGTGTTATATGTTATATGATATTTAGTTTGTTCTTATTTATAGATACTTTTTTGAAAATTCAACCAAAGATTCTTCTAGTGAAGGCATACATATCGCATATTTTAAACATCAGGTGTGCGCATGCGTAGACTGCGCAATGCTAAGTTTCTTATTTATAAGAATATTTCCGCCATAACTTATTTTCCTTTGTACATACACATGAATAGCCCGTTACATGACCCTTCATGAAGTACTGATCAATTCATGGAAAATGCGCTAAAGCTACTCGCCTTAAGATGAACACCTCCAACAGTGCGTCTGTATTTTCTAGCTCATACTGTGTGAAAAATATAAAAACCTTTTGTGCAAATGTCAACAAATCTACAAAAATTGTTTTTGAATGTACAGGGTGTCCCATTTTTACGGTGTAAATAAATAACTTTTTTTCAATATAAAACACGCTGTATATTTTTAATAGTTTCAATGCAATTTGTTAACCTCTCCATTGAAAGCTATTCACTTTTTGATGTCTTGTCATTGTTGCAATCTTATTAATTTTTTTCAATATAAATCCCCGTAAGTGAGCCTCACGCTGATAAGTAGAGGGTAAACTTTGATAATAAGAACGTTGGATTTAGTGATACAGGGTGTGCACAAGGAAATTATACAATTTCAGAATTTGAAAGTGTCGTAACTAGTTTTTCTCAAATGGGGCTGTCATCATTTTATTTCGCTATTTGATAGTCTTTTGTGTTCTCTTCAATTTTTACAAGGGAGGTCCCGTGTGTAAACCCAGCAGTTTCTAGGTTACCTATTCAATATTTTTCACAAAAGCACCAACCCATTATGTTTATGCACAAAAGTAGGTCGTGATAATAAACACTTTTATGAAAAGAAATGTAACAAAATTGATATGAGAACGTAGGGTGCAAAAGGTCATGCGATCACTGAAGAAAATTAATAAATGTACAATAAACAAACGGCATGAAGCAGATGCAGCGTCAACATAACCTCTAAATGTTGTACAGCTTAAGCTCAAAACTCAAACTCAAGAGAACGAGAACTTGAACCACTAACAAAAGTACCTATATAAATACTTTGGAAGATTTTAGCGTCGAGTTGTTAAGCGAGACGCTTATGCTTTCTCCAAATCGTCCAATCGATTGCTTCATGCCCATCGATTTAAAAGAGAACCGATGAACCGAATACGATAAAATTTTCCAGGTGGTTTATTTACCAAATTTGTAGATCGGAGTTCTCCCACAATTTTTTTTTGTTGAAAACGTTTAATTAAGGTACCCTCTACCCATTTTTATTAATTTCATGATCGTAGCTCAAGATTAAATAAACCATTACAACAACATGAGTAATATAGGACCTAGGATAGATCCTTGAGGTACTCCATACTTATTACTAATTAATCTTCATAGGTGTGTATGCGTATACAAGTTTTATTGAAATTATTTAAGGGTTCATATGTATAGATTTAATCTCAATTGCACAGATATGACATATTTAGTGTCCAAAAACCAATAAATAGAATTTTAGTCGTTCATGTGCATATTTTTTGCAGTACCAACTTCACATATGAAGTAGGTATGCAAAATTTGGTTGGTTATTACTAACTTCACACAGGTTTTTAGCATTGAATTTTATAAATTCAATGTTTTTAGGTTTCACTGTTCCCTCCTCCCATAATCGTATATGTATGTATGTATATAAAAGATATATATGCCTAATAATGTGAATTAAACCCGCGCATTTTGTTTGGAAAACTAGCCCAAAAGTTACACTTTTGCTCTTGGACTTATCTGAAGCGAGTTAACTATGTATACTCACTTAATAATTTTGCGCAAATTTTCGTTCTCAATCAATTTGGCATGCAACGAATCATGAAGTGCATCAAGTTCCATCTCTTTCTCCTTCAATTGTTTCTTCAGTTGATAAATACTATCCTCAAAGGCCTCTAAAACTGCCTAAAAAACACTCATGATCACATCACCTCGACACAAAAATTACATACTCTAGATTCCTGAGTAGAATCAGAAACAGAAGGTGGTTCGTTGAAACAAAAGAAATCCTGTATCTGTTGTGACGTCACAAGATCGGGTTCGCTCAGTATGGCATTGACGAGAGTTTGAAGGCTGTTAACACGTTCGTCCAAGAAGATCGGATCGAAGTTATTGCCTAGCCACCTTTTGCGCGGCAAATGGTGCACGATATGTGGATACGACTGTTTCAGTTTGTTACATAAGCGGACAAAGTCGGTGTATCGACGGAAAACGTACCAACAGTCGCCAGTTATTTTATTGTCAATTCGCAATTTAAACACCTGCAAGAAGTTGCGGGCATTCATCGAAGTAATCGCGGCGACTTACTGTGAATCTGGCACGCTCCTCCATCACCTCGTAACCCACAATTGGGATTTCGATGTTATTAAACGTTACTGATCCATTAAGGCACGAATGGAACGACTCATTCCCTTCTACTGAATGCAGAAAGTTGGGGGTTAACGTGAGCGAAGAGTTATGGCTAGTCATTGAGAAGTCAAAGTTTCTGTAACTAAAATATGCGTTAAAATGCCTAAATCAAACCGCCGGTTATTTACCTTATAGGTTCCGATATGTATTCCTCAGAGTCGGTCGTTACAGTTTCTTCTGCTGCTTCGCAATCGTCAATTTCATTGTTATTTAGTAGTGGGTGTGAGATCGTGGGTTGAATACTTAAATTATGTCCTAACTTCGAAATACCATTAACGGAATTCTCATTTGTGATAGAACTCATAATCTTAACACAGAGAGGTGAACACAATCGCAAATTACTACACTGAATAAATTATAAAAACAAAAATATGTTTACTCACAATAACCTAACCTCGTTAACATTTTATGGTCCAAGTCAAGACCTTGACAATTAACATTTACAGTTCATTAAAATTCAAAGCAAGATAAGTCACCTGCACTTCTCACTATTCAACACACATTTCAAGTACCTATCCATAATTAGTTTAGTATCGCAGAACACAAGGACATAGTAAGAATGTTAATAACATTATTACCAGGTGGTTGGGGAAGTTTAAATTAAAATTAATCCCTTTGGGCTAGATCACAGATGAAGAGTGGGGTGTTCGGTAATTACCACCTTAGATCTACTGACTGGCAGTAGGCACCAGGTACTGTGCTCGGCAATAGGGGTACTCGATAAGGAAAGATGTTATTGATAAATAAGTAATTAAATTAGTAGACTAGAAAACTTCCCATTTAATTTTCTAGTCTAATAAACAGTAATGGAGTAAGTTTTAATTGCATTAAGCACTTTTAACATCTTTAATTCTAGGTACGACTTGTTATTAAGCCATATGGTGCAGTCAACCTCATTTATTACAACATCAATTCATTCTTTTTTTTGATACGTTAAATTTGATTGTGTATGCTTTCACTTAATTTCCTATTGGAAAGGAAAGGCACATTTTTTCATCGATGACAATGTGAAATCAGTTATACATAAATACAAAGTAGGTACAAAAAAAAAGAATAGGTAGAGGCATTGTTTAAATACAATGGTAGAGGATTGCTTTTTTTCAGCACACAGCTATACAAAATTCTATAAATGTATTCAGGCTTTATAGTTCAAATTCGAGTTGAAACCCATATAATTCAGACTTAGAAATTTGAACCCACTGCTTCAACTCTTTCTGACTTTCAAGTTTGATTGTAGATAATTTGTTCAGTGGATAAACTTCTGTGGCACAGGATTTTCCGAAATTATCCAAAATAGTTATTTGTTTCATTAGTACAAAAATGTCAGTTTTCGGGACGAGGAAGATAGTTGCTGGACGACGCGTTAGCGGAGTCCAGCAACCTTCCGAGTCCCGAAAACGCATTTTTTGTACGAATAAAACATAAAATTTTTTCTCCAACCCCCTTTACTTCAAATTATATTCGAATTTAGATTCAGTCACAGTTTCACTACTAGTATAAGAACTTCTGCTTTCTTGTCCTCACGTGTCATGCCACTCTAGTTTTTAGGTTAACTTATAACCTATTCGTTCTGACTTCTTACTTCTCACCTCTCGCGACTTTGTAGGGAGCAAATCTTGAGGTAGCATGTTCTGCCGTTTCTATAATCTCTGGCGGAGTGCAATCCATGTCGCTATCAGTTTCAGTCATTTTATTGTATACACAATTAATATTGTTATATTTTGTATTGAAATAAAAAACTTACCGTACAGTTTTTTAATTAAAATTAATTGCAATTAACTTTTTCAAATTTTGAATTCAAAATGACAGATAATAGTGCAAGGGGTCTGAAGTAGATGGCGTTACGCGCGACGGCGGGTTGTATACGTATTAAAATTACGTTCATCGAATATGTAAATTACGTTACACATGGTTTAAATAAAAATAGCGAGCGTAAATCATTTTCAATACATGTACATACGTATAGGTGACATCATTATTTGCATTTATATGCAAAAAGATTTGATTTGTATGTATAGAAATATCTTATAACCTGCAATGTAAAACGATGTCAATGTGACATATCTCCGTGATTGTAATTTTTTAATTGGCCAACTTTCAAGGTCAATTTCTTTTTGGTACTAGGACCAAAAGTATCTACTTTTTGTACAGTTGCCATGGTGAAAACGATTAATCCGCAAAACGTCAATTTTACGTACCGAACACTGTCACAAAATAGCGTCTTATTCAGGTGGTTGGAGAAAAACACTTTTTGATATCATTATATAATAAGTAAATTATCATGTGAATTGGCAAAAAATTGCTGTAGCCACTGCACAGATACCGCTTGCACACCTGCGCATGCGCAATTTTGCGGCCTTTATGTATAATAATAGCTGTATTCGTTTCAAGTGATTTAAAGGAATTGATTGCACTTTGTTTTTTTTTCATTTACAATCAGTTCCCTCCACTACTGAGCAAGCGAACAGAAATCACTATTATCTGATTGCGGGAAAAGTAAAGTTGTTACAGTTAAATCACTTCATTAAACATAACTTCATAAAACTGGAATCATAACCTCCCAGTCTGTTTGTTTATTAAGGGACAGGGCAGGGCAAAGCGATGCAAGCTTTGTATAGGGGAGTCGACGGTGTCCGTCTGCCTGTGAATCCGAACTGTCAGACACTTGGATCGATTTGGTTCAAACTTTTCACAGTTGACCTATATGCCACAAGTAATAAGCCTATTGAAGATGGGTTAAATCTGTTGGATATGGCGATCACACAATTTTAATTATATACATAGAGAGTGTGTGTAGTAGTTGTTTTGTGAGAAAAATAATGTTCTAATTTTACTTGTCACGTTAGGTACTTCAAATAAAGTTATTTATCCGTTTTTATTGAATAATTCTTCATCACGCGGTAAATCCATTCAGTTCAATAAAATCTAATGACCCGTTGGGGTCACGCCTCTCTGTCCCTGCCAAACGCTTGAACCTATTCAAATCAAAGTTTGCACAGTTGACCTATATGCCACGTGTAGGTATAATAAGCCTATTGAAAATGGGTCAAATCCAATGACCCCTTAGGGTCACCCCATTCTGTCTCTGGCAAACGCTCTTGAACCTATTCAGTTCAAACTTTGTACAGTTAACATATGTGATATAAATTTAGAAGTAGACTTAGGGATTTCCTATGTCTAGTTTTAAATGACAAAAACTCTTCTGAAGGACGCCTAGTTTTATGCAATCAAAATAACTTCTTAAAACAAATGAAGATTATGCGTCTAATTAATTGGAATATTATTGCTTTGGCTTCCGTTTTTTTATTTTCGTGTCCAATGTATTCAGCTGAAGCAAAAGTTGATTTTTTCAATTGGTATAGTGCCGGTAACAGTTTAAGGCGCGTGTTGATCACTTTAAAATCAGTGGTTATTTAAATGCGATCCACATAAGACACCGTAAACAACCCTCAATTTTAACGGAGGACATGAAACTAAATGTTTTAATTTTTGTTGAAAAGAATCCTATAAGGAACTCAAGGGAAATAGCGGCCGAATATCATAACATTCATACCCTAAAAGGATTCTATTTACTGTTTTTATTAAAATCTAGAATGGCAATGCAAAACGCGTATACGCATGTTATTTCGGTTGCATAAAATTAGACGTCTTTCAGAAGAATTTTGTCATTTAAAAGTAGACATAGGAAATCCCTATGTATCAAATTTCATTCAAATACTTTTATAAATATAAAAGTTTGCAATTCGGTTTATAAATGGTCGGGATGCGAAAGGGACACTGTGAATTTCGACGATTCGACTCAACTTTTGGCATATTGCTATGCCCATATTGAATTTCATGCAATTCCGTTCATAACTAACGGACATGTCAAAGCGATCGGACATTTCTAAACAAAGTTATCGTTCACACGGACAGATAGAGGGACAGACAGACAAAGGAACAGACGGACAGACCAACAGACAGATGACAGACAGCAATACACAATTATAAACGATCTCTAGTAGGTATCGTTAATAAACGGCAAAAGTGTAAAATTATGGAACATGTAAAAAACGGTTTTCTGGTTTTTTTTACAATAACTTTTTTAGTAATAAACGCAGAAAAAATTCCTTCCTTGTTGCAAGTCTCGACACCATAACGAACCAAATAGCGAAAAAAGTAGAACAATAGCTCTTAAGATAAAAAACTAGTAACGTCTCAACGAACGAGCGGACGGACGGATAGAAAGACGGACGGACAAACGAACGGACAAAGTGGCCACAATAGCGCATTTTTTTTATTTTTGTGGAAATGCGGTAAAAACAGAAAAAGCACAAAACTAAAATTTCGCTTTCCTTGCTTTAACACTCACTTGAACCACTTCCTGTTCACTAAATTTCTATTAGTACCTATAGTGCAAGATTTGTGTCATTGACGATCGCAATAATCTCTATCTCTATTTCTCCTGGTCACGAAATAACTTTAGAACGACTTGACCGATTTCATTCAACTTTTTTTTTAAATTTTCTAATACTTCATAGAAGGTTCTTACGGAAAGAAAACCTAAGGAAATTGCGCAGAAAATTGGAAAACTGCACGACGATTAAATTTGACAGTTGGCGCGCAGCAAATGTTAACGGCTGCATCGGTCGGCATCTATCTATCCATGAAAAAATAATTAATTCATTTCTTATTACAAGTCCATTTGATTAGAACGTTTATCCAGTTTTCAGTTGCTTCAGTGAGTTTTTTGAGAAGTGTTTTTGAAATAATTATTTTATTATTATTACCAGTTCGAATTGAATATTCATAGCTGAGACAGGACAATGTATGTCGGGTCAACTAGTTTTTTTATAATTTTCAATCTTTAAAAGTACCATAATCCTGTAGCGACCGAATTTTGATAAAGAAAAGAAAACTAACGTACGAAGTATAATGGGTATGATCATACCGGGATGAATACTTTCAAAGCGAACATAGTGAATTAACATGCGAAAGCAGTTTTTCGCAGCTTGTTGCTCCCCAAATTAACTTAGAGGGTTCATAATGGCACCACTGGAAAGAAGATTTTTTCTCATCCAACCAAATGCGAATTAGTTAAGTTTTATTTGTATTTTCTCATTATTTTATCAAAAATTCGCAAAATAAAATGAACTCGGAAAATCATGTAGCCATGACTAGATTTAAGCATCCGGAATTGTCAAATTGAAAAACTATATTGTCGATATTGACGGAATAGAAGTTTGATTAAATTCCACGGAAAATAAATTTCGCACTTTGCGTAACTATTACCGCCGGAAACGTTTTTTACAATAAACAATAGTATATTGAAAGACAAGTGTTACAATGCCGAAAACAGTTGTACAAAATCATCATTGTGACACCGAAATAGAAAAATACTTTTTTAGGCTATCATCACAAAAACGTTGATTTTGTGGACGCTTTTGCGGCCATAAAGTTTAACTTTATTGTACGCTTCTGTCAAACTTTACTTTATTGTAGGTACACATCTGTCAAACTGTACCTACTTATTTGAAACTGATGTGTGGAGAAACAGTAATCTGTTTAATACAAAGCGTCTATCTGGTCTAGCCCCATCAAGGATTGGGCCATCCACGTGCGTTTTTTTCATTTTCGGACTTGTAGGAATGTTTCACACTATTTTGCATAATCACAACGTTCACATTTAAAATTATAGTTTGACGTTTCAATCTTTGCTGCTTGCAGACCTTTTTGAAGTGTAGAACCAAAACATGAGGAAGCTTACATTATTATGCGAAGAACCGAGAACACAAGTACCTAGCTACCTATACCTGCCATCAAAGTAGGTAATCAGGTTTCTAATAATTGTACAGCATGTTAACTATAAGGTCTTGGAAGCCACAGTTACGAAGGACCTATTGCATTTGACATTATTAAAATCTTGTGCAATGGAGGAAGTTGCGATTGTACTTTTACTCTCAAACGCCAGCTCTTATATCATATATGGCTTAGGTTCGCAAGCTTGCAGCTTCCAAAATTTCATCCTGCTGTCGCTATCACCCATTTTGATACGCACAAAACACACGCAAAGATGCTAATTATAATTTATTACATATGACACGAATTGCTTTGTTTTTAATTGTCTAAGATAACTATGATTTTCAGAAAAAATATGTTTATGAGCAAATTTTTGAATTCTTTTTTGATGATCGCCTAAAAAATGTTGTGTGCACCTTGGCCAAAAGTGATTTGTTAGGCCTCATCTGAATTGCGGCCTCGGCTACCGCCTCGGCCACAAACAGCAGCTTCGGCCAAAAAAGATCACTTTTACGGCCTTGGTACACAAATAACTATTTCCTCAATGGAATATATCGTAAGTTTTGTAGTAAGTACAAATTAAAAACAGTTATCGTACCTTGTTTTCATGACTACCGTGATTTTTTAAACCAAGTACACATTTTGACTACCTAATTTCGCAAAATAATAATTAAACGTGCAACTAGACGTTAATAGGTAATTTGCATATCATAAAACGCGGAAAAAAATCTTTCCAATGGTGGCATTATGAACTCTCTAAGTTAATTTGGGGAGCAACAATCTGCGAAAAACTGTTTTCCCATGTTAATTCCCTATGTTCGGTTTGAAAGCTTTCACGCGGTATACAGAGTGGCTAATACAGATGGTACGGTTGGAGATATCGATTTGAAAGTTTTAGGCCTTAAATAAGATGTGTTTGTGCACATTCTAGCATTAAAAGAACATTTTGTATGTCCCGTAGGTATGGTTTTTTGACACGGCCGCCTTTTTGTTTTTTTTAAATGGCAACATAGGTCTTGCAACACATCGTTGGAAAACTTATTTTACCTTCATTACGAATATGCAATAGTAAAAATACGGTTACGCAAAACTAACTAATTTATTAGAGCGAAATTGTGAATAATACAATAAGAATTTTTATATTTTTTTGAGTGCCACTACGTGTTGCAAGACCTATGTTGCCATTAAAAAAAAATGGCGGCCCTGTCATAAAACCACGCGGGACAAAAATTTCCTTTTCATGCTAGAATATGCACAAACACATCTTATTTAAGTCGTAAAACTTTCAGACCGATATCTCCAACCGTTTTCACACCAGCGCTTTGGTTCCATCTTTATTAGCCACTCTGTATAATCATTGTATAATCTACAATGGGATAAATAATGTATAATAACATTGAATAATAAATCTGAATTCAATGATAATAATAATAAAGCCTTTGAGGAGCGCTTCTTCTTATAACCTGTAGCCGCCCTTTGCTTCGGCCGCCTGCGTGATTTTCACGCATCGCCCTATAGGTAATAGGAACGGCCCTGGTCACAGACTAATCGACCTCATTGAGATTTTGTCTGATACAGATTCCTGATGCTACAAAACTTTCCATAAAAAAGGGCGGGGGGGGGGGGCATAAGGGCGGGGGGGGGCATTTTTTAGTATTTAAACAATGGTGTAAGGATGAACCAAATCGGGGTCATCCCGTCTTCATTTTTTATTTCTGATCCACAAAGTACATTAAAAATAAAAAGACCCGTGTGTCCTCAATTTTTATTTGCGAGTAAAATAAACCCAAAAAAAAATTATTGAAAAGCTGTGTTTTTAGTCCGAATTTGAAACGCTTCAGACTAAATACGTCACAAACCTACAACCAATCACGTAGAAGTGACCTGGCAACCTTACGCGAGGGTCTGACGTTTGTCACATTTGACGTTTTGAGAGGGATGTTTAACTGCATCTAGCCACAGCCGTCTATAATTACAAGCCGTGCTGAGAATTATGGCAACACTGCATGGTAGGCCGATTTCCTAATTCAACTTGACAGATTTTGGGTGTATTTTATATGTGTTTTGGGTGTAATATTCCTTTTTACCTGTTTTAACAGAGCGAGATTGCGACAATTTGTGTTACTCCGTACGGAATGAACAGAAATTATTATTCAGGTAAGTTGCTAAACGAAATATATCGATTTGTTGTCATAACCTCTAAAGCAGACTACTCCTTACTGGACCCTTTACAAGCACTTGTATTTGTTCAAAGTACCTGTACAAGCTCACATATGACCTACACACTACGTGGTACGTAAGTACGGTAAGTGTTTATCGCGAAAACACACAATTAGTTTGTATTTCAGGTATTCTAGCACGGACATGTCAAGTCGATTTTCTGAAGGAACCTTCCGACTTAGTCCCAGGAGTTCACGGTACGGGAATTTGAAGTCTACGGTGCTCTCCTCTTTAAAAGCTTCGTACCTAGACCAGTGGTCGAAGTGAGGCGGTATGGCATACCGATAGATTTTTGGTTTTTGTGAAACATACCGGTAATAAATTTATCCACATAGGCATAACGGATAAAGTTTTTTCATGATAATATACGCATACATACAATACTAAGATTTTATCAGTTCAGCCATACCGGTAAAAAATATTTGCCACTTCGACCACTGACCTAGACCCACTGGAGTAGCGACTGGCTTAAAGTCTGCCATTCCGAATCACACCTGGTCGTTGATAAAACCTCGCTGATGCAGAGCGATTTATTGTCCTTTTGCCGAAATTAAGTGCTCAAGCGTGTGCTTCACCTCAACCTCTTTCGACAGAAGTTCACCAATTTCGGAGATCTCGATGGAAAACACATTATAATGGATTTACCAATTTACAGCGTTTCGAATTTGAAGTCAAATAAAAATGTTATTATCCATTTTTGTAAATAAATAAAATATATGTACAATTGTAAGCTGCCTAAGTATCTTTCTTCTGTATTAAAACCACCAAGGCGAAACACAGGAGAGAGGAAAAATACCATTTTTCAAGAGAAACCAGGCGTATAAGACCATGTACCAAGTCGTTGGCGTACGTGAACGTTACACGGTCACGTCCCTGCATTCAATTTAATGTTTGCTACTTGTAGGTTTCAGTTCTTCGTACAAAGATGCCTTGCAAGCGGTCCGACAGAGTTTATGTGCGATTGCAAACCCGAACACAACGTCAGTAAGGTCGCAAAGTTTCTAATGTGCTCCAAGATTTCAATTTGAAATTGCCAATTCCGAGCCAATTCACTATAACTAAGGTGCCCTTTTTATTATTGTGTAGTTTATTATTATTTAATGTTTAAAATATTGGTAAGCAATAAAAAGTTTACATATTTATTAAATTTATTGTTTTTGAAACCCATTAACTTCTTCTTAAAAAATCAAATAAACGGTTTTTCATGCAATCTAGAAATTAGTAATAAGCACCTTCTTTGGAAGAACCTTTGAGTTAGAAACAGGGAAGCATCTCGAGAGACTGAACGTAGGGCTTTCTATCACTTCATTGGAGCGACCCAATACTCGGCTTTCTCTTTACAGAAACTATGGAAGCACAAGTACAAATAAAACTTTATTGTAAATTATGCAGTTATTTACCTAATAGGTACACAATTTAAGGTCGATTCACATTATCTGTCAAGTCAGATTATATCCCACGGTTTTGGTAATCTTTCTCTCGTCCACGGCTCTCTTGACTATTCCGGCTCAGACAATTTGAAATTGAAATCTTGGAGCACATTAGAAACTTTGCAACCTTACTGACGTTGTGTTTGGGTTTGCAATCGCACATAAACTCTGTCGGACCGCTTGCAAGGCATCTTTGTACGAAGAACTGAAACCTACAAGTAGCAAACATTAAATTGAATGCAGGGACGTGACCGTGTAACGTTCACGTACGCCAACGACTTGGTACATGGTCTTATACAGCCTGGTTTTGATGGCCCATTCCTTCGTGCTAGCGGTGAGCGTCGGGTCCATTGATGTAATGCACGAACAATGAAGTTATGTAACGGCCTGTTTGTGTCAGTTGTCATCTACAATCGGGCTGTCTTATTGGAGGCGGTAGGAAAGCAAATTTGTATATTTATGCCAGTAGGAGCGTTCCAGTTTTATCACCGTAGCAGCCCTCCGGTTTATGAGCGATTCGTAGGTATTTGAAATGTCTTGGGTTACGATTTGTGAGCATGGGGCTTATACTGTCCTTTTCGGATTTTATACTGCTGCAGCGAAACATGGCTCTTGGTATAACAACCTCAAAAGTCTGCTAGTTTAAATGTACATTACGAATATGTTTATTCATTATAATAGCCTGTGATGAAAACAATAACCTAACCTACATTTTAATTAATAACAAATTGCAACTGAACTTTGACGTTTCTTTCGCATGCGCAGATTGTACGGAGTTTAGACCTTTTATCTCAACGTGTGACTGCATCTAGCACGAAAGTGACAAGTGCCTGTGACAGATGACACAAGTTATAAATGCCATTCTCCTGCAATATCATATATATAAGAGAAGATATATGTGCAATATTGCCAAGTCGTTATGTCATCTGAATGGTTCTAGGAGCTGATTGGTCGGGCTTATTACGTCACAGAGCCCGCCACAATCATATCGTTTTGAATAAACGTTTAAAACCGCACATGTTCATTATTTTTTGCTAATCAGCCTCTATTTTTAAATAAACTTTTACTGTCCAAAAAAATGTTTTATGGTTTCAGGTACACGCTTATTAAATTAGAACTGCGGAATTAAACTATACTGTAAACCCCCATTGCCCAGAAAAACAATTTTAGCAAAGAAAAAGGAATGTGCGGCCGTCGATGACTATATATACTTTAGGGGATGTATATCGGTGGTGTTACTAAATTAAATTATATACCAAATTGGTGACGTGTTTGTCTTGGAAGCGATCTCTGAAACACGATCTAAGATAATATAACATAAATTGCATAATTCAAATCTCTTTGAATATTTTTGTTTTATTTAAAAAACATACATAAAAGTATATGTAAATCTGTACAATATATAACAGTATCATGAAGATACTGAAGCTGTAATATTATCTCGATCCATTTCAAGAACAGCACTTGCAAAAGCATCGGCAGAATCTACCCGTTCACAGCTTGCTAAGACGTTATCTTGTTGATCAACGTGTTTAGAAGAATGAAACTGATTGCCAACCTTTTCCTCCAACAAACTTAGCGTACCATTTCCAATACATTGACGAATACTTTCAAAAAATCTCATATAATGATGGACATTGTGACTAAAAAATATGCATTACTATTTGTTAAACATTCAACTGCATACATTGTGAGTAATACGGGCCCTAAAAGCTCTTGTACGTTAACAAGGTAATGAATGTACGCTCGAGAATACTTGGAACATGCAAGGCAAGTACATCCAGGTAGAATCGGCCCGAAGTCTTCTGCGAAACTAAATCAGACTACCAACTGACATGTTACCGATTAAAACTTACTCAGCTTGTCGTAAATTTAATTCAAACTTCTCGTCATTGCCGTTGGCATCAATTGTAAAGGTTAGCGCGCATGATCTCTCAGTGACTATGTAACAATATGATGTATCGAAAAGATCGACGCCTAACTGAACTAATTTCAGTATGACCACCGGATTCCAACAGCCGTGTATTGCTCTTAATTTTGTAGGTTGTAGATTGTTCTAGAACTCGCTCGTTTAAATAGTCTCAAAACCTAGCCCAAAACTTACAATTACAAACACGACTACTGGGTTAATTTCGTCGGCGGCTAAAAGCTCTACTTCTGGGCCGTTGTTGTGTAAACCGTCTATTAAATAACCCCCAATTGAGTCATTTTGACAGATTCCGTCAATACACTCCTTTCGAGCTTTTAGGTCGTAGCCTCCCGCTATCGCCCCCATCATAAATGAATTTTTTACTCCAGTGAGATTTTCATGAGTGTCAATACACTGCTTATGATATTTTATAGTGTTTTGCACAGATTTCCTTATTCTCTTTGCCGGGCTCGATATATTGGTGTCTCCGTCAGAAAGTAGGTAATACATGTCTGGTTTAAATAAGCTAACTAAATTCATATACGATTTTGCACTGATCAACACCTTGCCATGTCTCGTCCACAGTGGTATGCTGTTCTCAACATGATACCCAGGCAGTGTGTGATCACCTGGGTCTTGAACCGTTAAGCATGATATACACTCTTTCATTCCTAAACATGTGCTGTAATACAAATACTCCCATAAAAACGAAGCCTACCTACAAATTCTGCGATTGTTCCTTTATAGACAGACATCACATCTTCGAAATTGTACGTACTGACCAAAGGAATCTGAATTATTTGCGATTTTTGCGTCAGAAGCTTGAACACTTCATTGGTAATGTGAGGAATACTACCTCCCTTAAAGCAACAAGTTTGTAATTCGCTTTGTACGCACATGCAAACTTACACGTGTGTAAAGCATAGCCATGGGTGTTTCCAATACTAAATTAGGTCGATTCTCTATTTCTCTTAACGCCCCCAAACGTGGGGCATTTTTCGTTAAACTTTCTACGATAAATTTCATCTTGTAGCAATCTAACTCCAATGGTCTAAAATACGAAAAATGCGGCCGTACAAAATCTTCGTAAATCTACCCTGAGAAGTTGCATTACACGCTTGTGTTCTAAAATTTAAATATTTATACAATCAACAAAACCTGAGAGGTAAAAAGTTAACCTTAAATTTTTAAATGTGGTGTGGTGGTAATTAATGTACCATCAAAGTGAATCTAATCAAATGTTAGATAGTGGTGAAGCTAGCAACGAATTTGAGATGTGACCATAACCTTAGACTAGACAGAGAAGACGTATCAAAACTTCAAACTTAACGTGCAGGTTATCTGACAAATAACGTTATTTTGCGTTATTTGGTATAGGCAAAATGGCGTTTTTGACAGATAACCTGCACGATAAGTTTAACGTTTCAATTCAAGGTGCACAAAACTGTTTTTTACTTCTTGTTTAGTCGATCAGCTGTTCGCATTTCTTTGTAGTGCGTGACCGTGGCGTACCTACCTTTTGTACTTATTGTATAACATTATAATGAACAGAAAAGATATGCATAAATTTATCAGTTCATTTGTTGTGCATATAGACATACTCATATGTCTATGTTGTTGTGTCGTACCAAAGAGTATAATATACTCTTTGGTCGTACACAATTTCTACTTGTTCAAATACATTTGTATTAACGATAGTTGCTGCTTTAACCTCACGCCAATGAACTGTAAGCGGCCATGTTACTGGTGCACAAACAAATTATCGTGCTGCATTTTACGATCATTCTTGTCCCTTCCATATATGTGCTCTTTAGTATATATGTATGATCCCTCCTCTCTCTTTTCCTTCTCTAAGGCCACAACCCCATAACACAAGCACAAGGTTAGTTGGCCACACCATAACGTGCACATCTTGGTCCAAGCCCTTAGCCCACAGTCGTGAAACGATTCTAACTAAGTTGCTTATCCTATAAATGTAATTGTATATCTACTGTAATGATCTTAACCTCCTACTATCTTGGCGGGCTAACGCCAACTTCAAGTCACACCGCAATATTTGACCATATTCTGTAGTAGCGGGAATGCCAAACTAACATGGCTGCCTATTTGAATATTCTCGCTTAAGTTTCCCGCGAGAATCTGTCACTCGCGGACCACTCCGAGTGCACTAAGATCGTGATCGTCATGTAGGACACCTACGTTGTGTAGTAACATGAGTTCTAAGCAAGCAATGAGGGCGTTTTATGGGTAAGGAGCACCAAAAGCAATAGCTGATTAAGATTATATTGAAGCTAATACCAATACGGCGCCCCTGCAGAGAGTCTTAAGTGGTTCTATACTACCCCGGCATTTACCTTACGAATTATAGGAAAACTGCAGGAAAACCTAATTCGGAGTAGCCCTATAAAGGACAAAGCCTACAGATAACATCTAATGTACAGCAATTTTGAGCCCTCTCGAAACCGGGGTAAATAATACAAACACGCTATGAGTAACCAAAATGGAATCGAGCCATTCCCCAGGTGTTACAACACATACATCAGACAAAACTAAGAGATATTAAATATACCTCGCCGGGTGGTAGGATTACCCAGGCCCAGTGGGGTGCCTGTAGACGTGGGCTAAAGTTGGGTTTGGAACGAGTGAAAATGTTAGGTTCACCAAGGCCCGTATAAACTTGAATAACTCGCTCCCTTCTAAACAAGCACACTTCCCTCTTGATTACTCACAGCCCCAAATAAGCAAATGTAATGAAATGCAATGAAATAATCGAAAGTGACTAAAAAGCACAATACACAAATATGTACAGAACAGATACAGCCCTACCGACAATGAAACATGATTGCCAATACCAACAAAGGTTACACATTAAGAGATACAAATGATTGAATCCAGTATGACCACACATTCATAGATTAATTGAATAAAGCATACCTCACCTGATATAAAAAGCAAAAGCACACAGCAATGATTAAGGTATAACAAAATATTTCAAGATAAGCCGTACTTTACACTTAAGCCGGTTACAAGAAAAAGATCCGGAACACACATGTTAGACCGGTAACTTGATCTCTTAACACCCCCAAAAACCACTCGAAAATCGCCCATTCCTTGCATTTCACGCATTTCTACAAAAAAACTGGACTGCAGGTGTTTGAAATAGTAAACACATGTGTTCTTCCGAGAAATTCCATCCGTCTCATCTTCGCTCTCTTTCCCTTTTCTGTAATCCCACCAGATTTCGGTTGGCAGCTTGTATAACGAACGTGATTTATAGGGTGCTTCGTATCGACAATCATATTCACAGGATGTTGCTAAGGTTGGGGCATCTCACTACAAGTAAATAGGCGAAACTTAAATAATCATTGCGGAAAATTCCATTTTACAGCTTATTTATAGTCACATAAACGTTCACAGGCATTTTACAATTGATTTTTATTTGATAACACCAATATAGACCATGTATAAATTACACATGCAAGGCTTTTATGTCTATTGCTTTTCAAAACCGCATTAAATGAAAGTGACAATGCCTTTCCTAGTCTCATTTAAATTGAAATTCCCTTTAACTATTTCTTTGAACGTAGAAATTGAAAACATTACACTAAAAAGTTAAGGAAAAATTGACAATAAATTAGCTAGACGTTGCTTTTCAGTATGAGAATTTAAAATTACAACAAAATTACCTGCTCTGATGATTACAATTTTTCTTATTGAAGCAAGTGAAAATCCTGTTTGGTAATACAGTTCCCTATCTGGAACCACATAAATATGAGCATGCCCCTTTAGATTTTATTATTTATAGATAGATTTATACCCATGATTCCGTATAACATGTATTTATTACTGTCAATTTTTACATACAATTGCCTATAGAATAAATAATTAATGAAATAATTACACATCCCTTCCAGTAATTAGGTAATTCCTCTCAATCACCTACCAAAACGAAAACACTCATTCAAAAAGATCATCGTAAATTACAAGGTCCCGCTTGTCTTTGTGATTTCCCTTCTGCGAGTGACTTGCGGCTACGAACAAATTATGTAACTATGATTTTACAGTATTTATTGCACACTATACCTAAAGTTGACCAAGTTGATGACGATGTTGCATCATTAATAGGCTCAATTTGTGGCTGTCGCCTTGCTAACGATACTTTCAGCGGTATTCCTGAAACCATACTGCCATCCATCTATAATCACGCACACTGTGTACAAACACTTTAAAATTACTGTTTTTATACCTCAGCGATCGCTCTATCCGATGCTTCTACCTTGTCAAATGTTACAAAACCACGACTAAAAAAGAAAAAGCATAACTTATAAAAACATTGTAATAATAAACAAACTTTTTCTCAATTTCCATCGATATATTAACAATATTGCCTACAGTAGAGAAGTGTTTCTTTAAAAATTCCTCAGTTATTTTATAACCGGTGACGTAAATGGTATTTCCCTGTCTTGGTTTGTCAGTTTTCTCTCGTTGCTTCTCAGTTAAACCCCTTTCTTCACGATCCCGCTGATTCGCAAATGTATCATACAAATTTTTTATTCGTGGAGGTTGATTGCCAGGATTGTCTGGTCCATCATCGGCTTGAACAGCGGAGAATGGTTGGTAGCCGCTAACCGTCTTCTCCGATATTAATTTTCTCTCCAAACCTAAAGCGAAACGTACTATATGACAATTAAGTAAGCGGTACCTCGTGGCCTTTTAAATGCCTGCTCTGGCCTTTTCTCCTGTTTAGGTATTGCACTGATCGCGCCCGACTTAATTAGCTTCTTAGCTACCTCTCTTGCATCTCTAGCTTCTGCGGGCCTCTTTGGAACCACCGGTTTTTCGGGTTCCGGTTTGGGTGCTTTCAGGGCTTGTAAAGCTTTTTTCTAAATGGAATGTAAACAGAGGTAAGGTTACGGTGTAGATATAACGTACCTTCTTTTTCAATTTTGTATATTTAGCTTGTAACATAAGCTCTTCTTCCGTAAAATTCGCAGGAAAATGAATGTAAACCATTTTTGAATTAAATAAACAAGCCGAAAAGTAAACAACAACTTATAGGTTATGATGGTGGGGATGTGGTTATAGTACAGGCATAGTGGATGTGGCGATGACAGCGCCAAATATAAAAGTAGTGTACAGGGTCTTTAATAAATTGCTTATGGCCGTTTGTACCGATAAATTTAAGCGGAGCTTAGCTTAAGCGCAGCTTAAAATCCGTGGTAACCATTGTCTCAATATCGTTTGTGTTTTTGTAGGTATGCGGCACTAAGGTGCTCTTAATATACTCTTATCGTCAGGCAACACATCTTACAACGCCACAATGTCCTGTTATAGGTAAAGTAAGTCCGAAATGATCGAATTCTTATACTTGCAGCCACACGTAAATAATTAAAGAATCAATAGCTTTGTATAGGTATATGCCTAATAAATTATAGGTACATATAAACTGACTGGTACTACTACACCTTCATAATCTTCTTAACAATATTCTGCGGCAATGACATTATTGTTGAAAAAATGGAGTACACACAAAAGATCAACAACGCACATTTTAAAAGTCTCCACTTGTTTTGCTTAAAAATAATCATTTTTAATGTTTTTAAAGGATTTTTAAACCACAAAAACGAAGTGTCAGGTCTCCTGGAAGATACTGGAATTAGCGACACGAGAAAAAAGTATACCTGCCGTACTTCGGCATGGGAAGAGCTTGCGGATCAGATCTTCCAAATCCAACAGACTCCTTCTTCGCCTCTTCTTCTGTAAGTAACTGAAATTCCAATTCGACTTTCCCCTACGTTGAGTTAGTTATACTATATCTCCTAGAACTTACCGCTAAGATTTCGCAGTTAGTTTCTTCATTAAGTGCACGAAACGGCCACCACCCTTTCGTTCGTCTCCGCTTGAAAAGATTTATGCAAGGAGAATCGGGATTGAAACTTTCCAAGGTGCAATGTTTTGCGGACTTGGATCCGCGCGGAAGCTTGGACAGTTCTAGCGATAGATTTCCTGGAACATCTCTTTGACGAAAATCGTTTTCCACGAACATTTACCTAAGAAATCATCGCTCGAGACTACATCGTTATCCCACACTTCCAACGTAAGGCGACAAGGCAACTTGTACTCTGTCTCTTCGGACGAGAATAACGACTCCTTTTTCACTATTACCACCACGTTTTCGGTTGGCAAGTATTTGAAAGGAAAGATGAATCTCCAGTTGAAATTTCCCTCG